CGAACCTGCCGGAAGCCGACCTGCTGAGCCGTCTGTGGGTGCCCCCTTGGGTGGGGGCGGGGGCTGCTGGCGGCGGGGTTGGCGGACAGCCCTCTCCTTGACCGGCCCTGAGTTGTATGGGGACCCGGAGGGACCCGCCCCCCGGACTCTGGCGCACCCGTTTCTGAGGTTCCGGGAAGTGCCTGGCGGTTGGTGCCCGGTCCCCTTTCTCCATTGCACCCAGGAAGTGCCGTTCCCGTGGCCTGTTGGGCACCCCAGACGGGGCAGCTTAGGGGGAAACACCTCCTAACAGTGGCTTTTCCTTCTTTTCCAGGTACCCCCAAAAAGTTATGGATAAAATACTTAGTATGGCCGAAGGCATCAAAGTGACAGATGCTCCAATCCATACCACCCGAGACGAACTGGTTGCCAAGGTGAAGAAAAGAGGGATATCAAGTAGCAATGGTTAGCAGATCATAGATGTGAACATACATAGGAGTCTAGAACATAAGTTTGATGTCATTAGGAATTGTTACTACTTTTTTCAACGATCTGGAATTTACGTAACGTTAAAATCAAGTGAAATGTCAAAACTGAATCATGTGTCTGTTTTAGGCTCTGAATTTGATAAGATTTCCTGTAACTGCTTTTAGATTTTGAAGTGTCAAATGTCTGTGTTGTTGATTTTTTAATATTAGAAATGAATGATGCTCTTCGGTGCTGTTTAAGAAATTAATGAAGTTATTCTACATGTTTTGTTTATTTTTAAATTAAGGGACCAGGGAAGGCTGCCTTTTTTTTTTTTTTTTAATTTTTTGATTGATTGTAGAGAGAGGAAGGGAGGGAGAGAGAAAGAGGAAAACATCCATCGGTTGCTGATCAGATCACACGCACCCTGACTGGGATCAAACCTGCAGCCTGAGATGTGCCCTGACCGGGAATCAAACCAGCCACCTTTTGATGTACTGGATGAAGTGCCAACCAACTAAACCACACTGGCCAAGGCTATTCCACCCGTTCTAAAGAAACTACTGGTTCTGAAATATATTTGCCTTGTGCCTTTATTTTAATGAGTATCTGTCTTCTAAATTTTTAGCTGATGTGTATGAGGTGGACTAGTCACATATCTGTTTTCCTTTTTTTTTTAGAAGGGGTAGAAGAGCCAACGAAAAAACGAGTTATAGAAGGAAATAATTCTGCAGTTGAGCAAGATCATGCAAAAATTTCTGCCAAGACAGAACATGCATCAGCTCAGCAGGAAAACAACTCGGTGTGTACGGGGTCATCTGCCAAATCAGAGAGTGGTGGGAACTCCACTCAGAGCTCTGGCACCTCCGATCAGAATAGCTCGACAAGTGATGGCGATCGGTCTGCTTCCAGCCAGAGCAGCATTTCCTCTCAGGTAACAACAGCCGGGTCTGGAAAGGCTTCTGAGCCAGAAGCCCCAGATAAACAGGGTGCAGCGTCGATTGTTTCTTCCTTGTTGAAATCCAGTGTGAATAGTCATGTGACCCAGTCCTCTGATTCCAGTCAACAAAGTGGATCACCTAAAAAGAGTGCTTTGGAAGGCTCTTCCGTCTCAGCTTCTCCAAGCATCTCCGAGGTTGAGGTGCCCTTGTTGGGCTCCTCAGGAAGCGCAGAAGTAGAGTTGCCACTGTTGTCTTCTAAACCTAGTTCAGAGACAGCTTCAGGTGGGTTAACTTCCAAAACCAGTTCAGAGGCAAATGTTTCATCGTCGGTTCCGAAAAACAGTTCTTCATCAGGCACATCCTTACTAACTCCCAAGAGCAGCACGTCAGTAACTACATCAATGCTGACTTCCAAAAGCACTTCGCAGGTAGCTGCATCGCTATTAGCTTCTAAGAGCAGCCCACAGACCAGTGGGTCTCTCGTTTCCAAAAGCACTTCCTTAGCAGGTGTGTCCCAACTGGCTTCTAAGAGTAGTTCTCAGACTAGCACATCCCAGTTGCCTTCTAAAAGTACTTCCCAGTCAAGTGAGAGTTCTGTCAGATTCTCTTGTTGCAAGTTAACCAATGAAGATGTGAAACAGAAGCAACCTTTTTTCAATCGACTGTATAAAACAGTGGCGTGGAAGTTGGTAGCTGTTGGTGGCTTTAGTCCCAATGTGAATCACGGAGAGCTCTTAAACGCAGCTATTGAGGCTCTGAAAGCAACACTGGATGTGTTTTTTGTCCCGCTAAAAGAACTGGCAGATCTGCCTCAGAGTAAGAGCTCTCAAGAAAGTATTGTTTGTGAACTGAGATGCAAGTCTGTGTATTTGGGCACTGGATGTGGAAAAAGCAAAGAAAATGCAAAAGCAGTGGCATCAAGAGAAGCATTGAAGGTATTTCTCAAGAAAAAGGTGGTAGTAAAAATTTGTAAAAGGAAGTACAGAGGCAGTGAAATAGAAGACCTAGTGCTCCTTGATGAAGAATCAAGGCCTGTCAACTTACCTCCAGCATTGAAACATCCTCAAGAATTACTATAATATGTGCAAAGTATTACCGCATACGGTATCTGGTATTGGAAGAGAAAAACTGACTTTTGTATAATATAAATACAGGCTTTCACAAATTTTGTATTGCTTTTTTCCAGTTTTGCAGAAAATTTACATTCTAGTTCTCTTCACACAGTAGAAGTTGTAAATAACTTATGAATGACAGTACACATTAAAAGATAAGCATTAACAGCATACCAGTATGCTGTTTTATTTGCTAAGGGAAATACTGTCTTCTATTTTTAATGATGCATTAGGTACGGTGTGTAGTTCTGTAGCGTCTTAAGACTTTTGTACTGCTTTTGATTTGGTGAGAATATATTGTCTACCATGCTTTTTTTTTTCCCTAGTGTAATAAACCTCCCACATCAAGAAAAGGGGACCATAGTATTTGAAAGTCTGAAGCTTAAGGTTTTAAGAATGTTGCCCATAATGTTGAACGTGTCTGTTAAATAATAAAAGGAAAAATAGTTGCCTCAGACTATTTTTATGAGAAGTTGTAAGCATTTTTTAGATATAAAGCAGTATAAAGTACTTAAGGTTATTTTATTCTGAGGTTGTTTAAAATTCATGCTTTTGACCACTGCAGATTCTTTAAGTGGGTTAATAATTTATGTTTTGAGGTAAAATACAATTTACACTTTTTCTTAAGACATAAATGTGGGTTTCTATATTAAACATATTTTGTGACTACTGCTATTAACAGATTGATTTGTTTAGATATTAAATGCTTTAAGCTATTTTACCTTTTCAAGAAGTTGTGTTTTTTTTCCCCTTAAGTCAGAATTCCTGCAAATAAGCTTCCTGCTACTAGTCATTGTAAATTACAACCAAGTAGTTTTTCATAGCTGATATACAACTTTATGAATAGAGAAGGTACAGTTGCCAAATCTAGAACTGGATGGTCTTTTGTTTACAAATCTTAATACTAGGAAGAATAGAGAGCCATGCTCAGCTCTCTAATGAGCTTGTTCAATTGACATACCTTTGTTAGTAATGAAATGGAATCCTGTTTTTGTGTCTTGGGTGATTCTAATTGTATTATTCCATTGTGGTAGATGATTTTTCTTCAAACTTTGGCCCAAGATGTCTTGTTATCTTTGTGGCTTTTCTTCTGGCTTTTGAGATACTGCAAATTGAGCAGTAACAGTGATAATGTAAGAGAAAAATCAAGAAATGACCTTTCTCATGCCAGTAATATTACCAGTAGAATAGGTAAATAGAA